TTGGTTGACTGCTCTTGTCGTCGTATGACGTTGGCGACTTTGCGTGCCGCTTGTACTTCTTACGGTGCCTTAAAACCATCGAAGCCCTCATTCCAAGGCAAGATCGTTATCGCAGCGAAGCATAGTGCACGGTACTTCCCATGCGTTCGTCACCTCCGCCTGACCCGCTGAATCCTACTTAGCAACAACCTTAATACCAAACTAGTAAACGTCAACTCTCACGCCTTTAGAAGAAGCGAGGGGTTTACAACACTTGTAGGGTTTTAACAAGGGTTCTAAAAAAAGAGAGGGTATAAAGTTAGAACAATGGCAATGATTCCATGATCATAACAATTTAAGGTTTTCAAGGATTCAAGTTACGTATAACAAAATGACAAGTAAAGGTACAACGGGTGTCAATTGCTTTCAAGAATAACCAAGGATTCGAGGTAGGGGTTTCAACAAATAGGAATATCAAGAGGCTGAGGTTCAAAGGCGAAAGGTATTTTAAACTAAGGCAAAGGGCTCACAAGACATCGCGATATACTTACCTTGCACCAAACATTAACCAACAGCGTTTGTTCATCCGCTACTTTACCTCCTTGCATTAATTGGCGTCCTAGTTCTCTTTCTTTTTTGTCGTGGTTGTAACCTTTACGTATCAAGATAAAGCAACTTATCAGGAGGTGCACGCCACTTGTTCGAACGAAGATCGTGGTAGCTGACTCCAGGTCGCGAATAAAGTAGTCTTATCTTCTTTGAGTTGGCCTCATGTCCAGACGTAGAAACCATACCTTAATCGCTTTGCTTCAACATACATCCAGGTTTTCCTTCTCTTAGTCACAGCCTTCGTCGAGCCTTTAGCGAAAACCGGAACGAGGTAACTTACCGGGTAAATGCACACCACCCGGTTACGGAGGTAAATTTATCTACTCGCACCCTTACCTGGTGCCTTAACTAAAAGGACTAAAGCTAAATAAGGAATAAGCACAGGAAACTTAACCGAAAGCGATAAATAAACTCACAACCTCACCGCGCGTCCTAAGATTCTTAAGTCCTAAGTACTTAAACACCTAGAGTTAAAGCTTAACATCTTAAAGTCTCAAACTTAGAGTACTATCCTACACTCAACCTAGATTCTTAAGGTCCAACTCTTGATATCCTAAGTGCGTTAACATTTAAAGTTCGAGTCTAACATCCTAAGGTCTTATCCTAAAGGCATTGTCCTAGGGTCGAACTTAGGCTCTGATACCAACTGTAACACCCCAAATTTTTAAAACAATTTAAAACTTATGAAATAAAGGCAAATCTGTCATTAATCATCCAAATAAAGCGGAACTAACAACATAAGTATCGGGGTGCTATGCCACATCTAGGTTTGAGAACCTAGATGCACAGACTAGACTAACCAATCAAAACATAAACTATAACTATCATCCACAATACAATTCAGGCCTCACAGGCCATCTAACTAATACTAAGTTAAATCCACGAGTCTGTCCAACGCGCTTCGAAGCTACAGATCTATACCTGAAAAACATACGGTGTAACAACCATCAGCGAATAATGCTGGTAACCCACTCCCACACGTTAAGTATAATAAATATAAATATAGAAAATCATTTTGAATATGGAATGCATATAAAATCCTGAGCAACTCTAGCTTTAAAACTAGGATCAAGACTCGAGACACCATCAATAAGGCAATATTTCGAATATTATAGAGATACTAGCATGCATCTTACGTTTGCAAGGCATAATAGACAAGTAAGCTAGTAAATAGCAATTAAAGACAACAATGGGATCCAATGACAATCAATTAACAAGTAATCATCAAAGCACACAATCCGTCTTCCAACCTTATACCAAGTTCCAACCTTTACTCCTCTCCATCCTTATATCAGTTCCAACATGTACCTCCAGGCCACCCTTATTCGCCTCCCTTATTCCTCCGGAGCACGCATGCCCCACACTGAAACCACCAACAAGTCCACCAACATGGTAGCACCGAAGTGCCATTCAAATGATCCGTGCCTATAGCCCTAAAATTAAGGGGTCAGCGCATATAGCTTTGACATGACACCGCAGCGCTTATACCCTAACCCAAGTCTTTAGCCAGCAAGTCTAAGGGGTGGTCCGTGCCTTTAGCACGATAACCGAGCACGCGTTGTGCTATCCGCCAACAATTCATTTCCACCAATCACAATCTCATTATCATCGATCTCAACCACCATTGCGCAATGATCACAATACCCATCATCATTCTATCAAACAACATATAATCAACAATAACAATCAAGGTATAATAGCAACGATACACACTACACATAAATTCCTAGAACGGTACTCAAAACATCATACGAGACTCATAAACATCGAACGGGGTATAACGGGACACAGGAAAACAACAAACGGTTTAGACTATATATATATATATATATATATATATATATATATATATATATATATATATATATATATATATATAGGGTAATGTTATTACTAGTTGGGCTAGGAATAACATTTGGGCTTAACTCATTTATGGATTCTAGGGATAAAACCATTTAGGCCAAATAATATTTATTGGGCGTGTAGAATATATCTACTATACTAATAAGAGCCCAAGAGAGTTAGGTCTATAATGGGTAGAAAAATTGGCGGTCGAATTTTTTATTAAATGAATGGCTCAGATTGATCAGATTTTAATTTTTCCTTAAGATTTCCTAATTTATCCTTAATGAATATGATAATCCGTTAACTTTTCCGTTAAATATTATCTTTTTTCGTTAATTTCTGTTAGTTCACCGTTAACTTACTCATTGATTTCAATAAGAAAGGTCTTAGGTTCGAACCCCATCCCAATCAAAGTTGGCATAATTAGTACTCTATTTTACTCTTATTAAATTAAATAATAATTTAGTAGCTACAACAAAAAATAATACATATGCATTTCTTTAATTTAGAATTATGTGTCTACAATGTCTTTATTCAAAAAAAAAAATATTCATTATCAATAAATTAAATAAGAAAAATAATTTCAATAGTTATATTGTATTTATTTTTCTCTCATATAAAAATTCTTTACATTCAAATTCATCAATGGATTATATTCGCTACATTGTCCCTACAATGTCTTTATTAAAAAAAATATTCAGTATCAATAAATTAATTAAGAGAAATAATTTTATTAGTTATATTGTCTTTATGTTTCTCCAATATAAAAATTCTTTACATTAAAATTCATCAATTGATTATATTCACTACATTGTCTCTGTTTGGCAGAGCTTATTTAGGAGTTTATAGCTTATTTTAAGCTACTAATATAGCTCTGTTTGGTAATGTTCCCAAAATAAGCTCCTAGCTTAAAATTAGACCTTATTTTGGAACTCTACCTTAGGTAGCATTTCAAAATAAGCTCCTAGTTTCCTAACTTCTTTTTCATATATATCCTTATTATTTTAAAGAAATGACATAATTTACCCTTCCCAATTAAAACTCTTTTCTCTTCTCCTTTATCCGCAACTTTCACCACAATTATTATTATTATTATTATTATTATTATTATTATTATTATTATTATTATTATTATTATTATTATTATTATTATTATTTTGAGATTTGCAACAATATTGCTACTTCATTATGAGATGCTAGATCATGATTATGCTAATAGTTTTATTTCAAAATATTAATTTTAAAGACAACATGTTACATTTTAATATGTAAACAAACTAATTTAAATTTTATGAAGATGTCCTTTTTAGTCTTTTTACATTTATCAGTTTATGAAAAAGCTAATTTTACCAAACACTTTCAATCATAACAGCTCTTCAGTTTTCAGCTCCGAGCTTATAGCTTTTCAACTTTCAGCTCCTAGCTTATTGCTTTTGAGCTAGGTTTGCCAAACAGAGCCATTGTCTGTTATCTTTTTTTTTTTTTTTTGTGCACTATTTTTTAATTAAATATCAAAGTTATAATACAAAATAATGCAATATATTTATTTACCAAGTATTTTATTAATACCATGAAAAAATTTTAAAAATATAATTAATAAAGCCAATTATATTAACTACTTGAGGGATTTCTTGACAAAGAGAGTATTCAAATCACACAACAAATTGAAGTGAGAACTACCTCGCAATGTCCTTATTTGACAATCAGCAGTTAGCGGTTAGCGTTAGCTGATTTGACCAGCGGATTATATCAACGGTTGGTAAAAAGATATTTGAAAAAATTAGTTGTTTAGATTAACATGTAAATGACCTAAGGGTATACATATATTTAATAATAATAATAATAATAATAATAATAATAATAATAATAATAATAATAATAATAATAATAATAATAATAATTGTTTTTAAAAAGTAAAAAAAATTAAAAAAAAAATATAATTAAGCGAATCATATTAACTACTTGGGGATTTATTGACAAAAAGAGTATTCAAATCACACAACAAATTGAAGTGGAAAACTATCTCGCAATGTCCTTGTTTAACAATCAGTAATTAGCTCATTCATATTATTATATATTTAATATTTTATGCGCTAATTTTTATTTGCTCTCCCTTATGTCCCGTATTTGGTTTCAACCATACCTATACAATTATTTTATTGACAATTATAATCAATCTTGACTATATTATCTTGCATTTGTAAACTTAGAATTGCCTATTTAAATACACAAATTTAACATTCAATTCTTTATGCATGGACAATTTCAATATAATCTTGTCTTGATATACTTTAAAGTACTTATTTATAAAAATTAAAAAAAAAACATTGGACATTATCCCAATCGCGCAATGCGCGTAAAAAACTAGTGTCTATATATAGGGTGGGGTTCAAGTGTAGCTAATTGCTTAGGTAAGGATTACGGTCAAATGACAACCATTGGATGACAGCATCTAACGGACCAGATTGCACAATTAATGAAATTAAGATTCTAGTAAATTAGGGAAGTAACGGATGGTTTAAGTAATAGTGGGGGTAAAAGGGTAAATTGAATATTGAATGTGCAAGATAAGAATGGAAGGAGCAAAAGAAACGGGTCTCTTCAACTAGGGCTAAAACGACGGAATTCAAGGGGGCTGTACGCATTGCACAATCGACCAAGAGATAAAAGATCTCACAAGCGACGACTAGAGGACTAGTTGACGACGACGCAACTGCTACACAAACTGGAACCATGGTCGACGCAACACCGAGAAGAAGTAAGCGATGAGCATCCATTGAAGCGACGAGTAGACTACGTAAGCAAAGCCTTGATTATTTTTGTGATTATGTTTTTGATTTTGATTCATTGCCTGCAAAATGTATTGAGTGTTTGAGAAATTGCATGCTTGTAGACCTTGCTATTGTGTGTTTTTTTGTGTTGTCTGATTTTTATAAAAATCGATCGCCGATGGGTATTGAAGGACAAGATTGTATTCCGCTGTGGTGGAGTGCGGATGGGTGTGTGAGGACGAAAAATTGACGGCGGGAGAGAGGGTGTGGATTCCAAGAAGAGCCGTATGAATGTGGAATTGAAAGGGTATTTTTTTGGTTGTATTTTTTTTTTTGAATTTTTTTTTAAAATAAAAATAAAAATTGGGGGAGGTCTATACTTCTTTAATAGAAGAAAACAATATTGAAGTTGGGCTATTGAAGTGTAAGTGATGGCTGTTGAGAGTACATTGACATAGCATTGTATACCGGAAGGTAAACTCTAGATACAGTAAATGCACAAAAACTTAGGGAATAAAACTATATGTATAATAACTCAGGAACATAAGACTATATAAAAGGAGACCAAACAAACTTAAACAGAGGGATACACAAAGGCCAAAGTATGGACTAAAGAGGTATCAGTAGTGGATGCGATGTTTAAGATAATGCAATTACTTTGTGTGTATTAAAAAAATGAATTTGTCCAATGTATAGTATAAGCTCTATGAGAAGTAAAAGGCCAAAGTATGTAGGAATGAGGTATAAGTAATGGAAGTGTAGTCTGTGCATGAGAATGTATTAATATAGGTCTGTGCATGCCAAGCATTAATACCAGTGCACAGCATCCTATGTTGGTCCGTAACTGATTTAGGGAGTCTGAATGTGTGTTAAGTCAATGTGTGTGGTGAGGGTTGGATAAAAAAAATAGGGGAGCATTGTTTTTGGCTAGTGGGTTAAAGTGTTTAAGTGTTAAAAGTCTAAATGTGAAAAGGAAACTTAATAATTATTACATACAGATAGTTTGTGTCATTCTGTGGAATTTGAATGTGTTAATCTGTTGGTAATAAATGGAATGAAATAATGACTAATATGGTTTTCAAACTATTTTCCAGGGAAGAAGGCAACAAAACCCATACGGCAACCACAAAGATCAAATGACCCCAACCCTGATGATGACTTTGAAAGTCCACCGGTGGTCGCTAGACAACCAGAAAGACCAGAAGTGAATGGAAAGGAAGCGTTGTTTCCAAGATTCACGATAAAACAAATAAAAACTTGCTAGAATTTAATTTAAGTAAAATTGTCGATATAGCGATATTCATGATGTAGAAATAGTGCTCCTGCGGTATATGCTATTGTGCAAAAATGCATAACATCTCAGAATCGGTCCATGTAGCAACATGGAATTTATTTGTTTACAATTAAATTTAAGATAAATGATTACCCACACTTCAGGAATTGTACAATAATTCCTTAAGAAAGAAGTGCAAATTAAATGATTATGAAGTAGTACGACCGGATTGTGCAACGTAAACGTTTATATTACTGCAACTTTAATATAAACACCTAACAACTGTTAATATACCTACATCTTGGTTTTAAAAAACCTATAGCCGAAACAGAATGTGCAACAATAGAATATTCCATTGTGCAAAAGTGTGATAACATGAAAAATGTTAGTCTGCGTTTCTAATAAATGGGAATGCATTAATCCTAACGTCCAACTTGCAGCCGTTACATATTTTGAAAAGCATTTTTCACGCTGAAAATTTTCAAAGCCGTGGTTGTGCGTCCAATTAGTAGAAAATTACGCTGGAAATTTTCAAAGCCGTGGTTGTGCATCCAATTAGTAGAAAATTGTGCGAGTATGTTATAGTGACCAGAAGAGCTATGCAACTCTACACTGATATTGTGCAAGCACTAAAGAATGCAACGGAAATTTTAAAACCAACAAAACATGTCATTTATTTTAATACCAAACAAAATTCCATAACAGTACAAAGTGCAGGGAGCACTAAAGCACAAACAATGTGCAAAAAAAAGGAGAAAACATATAAAAACTTTAGAGGCAATATAATTATATTTTTTCATTGCGCTTTGGGCCGGTATGACTGTTATGGAACCAATACCATAACAATGGCAAATGTGACATCTCTTCTATGATTATCAATGCCAGTAAATGGAACCAATACCATACCATACTTGCAAGAGATAACAACAAATCTAATAAGCATTACAACCTTGTGCATTAAAAAACTGCATGCACAATTAAATAATACCAAACTGCATAATTAAGAAGCCTATACATGCACATTACGTATCAAACACACCCACCACAAAACCAAAAAAATAAATACTATAATTATAGAGAAAATACAATGGTAACACCCCACAAACCAGAACGTTAACAACTTAAAAAAAAAAAAAAAGGAACTTCTTGGTTACATTAAACCATAATTACAAATGAAAACAAAATAAACCATAACACTATAACAGACACAGTTTATATATATGAAACCCACAATCCCAATAAACAAACAAAATGAAGAAAATGAATAGATTTAAAAACAATACACAACGCTACAAGACGAATGAAGCCAGCGAAATACAAATGCACAAAAAAAACTGCACAATACTTATATATTAAAACAAACGAAAACACAAACCTGGAGAATCCATAGCACAGAGAATGAAGCAGGAATAAATAAAAGAGTCTGTAATCTTCGCCAAAACACAAACAAAGAATATGAAAAAGAGGCAGTATATAAAGATGAATAAAGAATATCTTTAATTACCAAATTTAATATCCCTAAAACTATGGCAAATCAGTCGAAAAAAAAAAACAAATAAAGGAAACAAAAATGCAAAGACTAATGAGCCCCTAGATCAAGATGGTGTGAAAAAAGGGAAAAAGTAAATCCAAAAATAAACCAAAAAATAAGAGCCATAGATCCAACCAAAATCAAAGGTCAGATTTCGACCACAGACCACATGACCTCATATGATCCTTTGTCTATATATATATATATATATATATATATATATATATATATATATATATATATATATATATATATATATATATATATATATATATATATATATATATATTGGGCTCAGGATTTGGGCAAGGGTCCATGGTCCATTGTGGGCCACGTCAATCAATTAGGGGAATTCTATCCTTTCTAATTGTTCTTGGTGGAATTAATTACATAATTAATCCCGGGTTTGAAGATCGTAACACGGGTTGTTACACCACCACCCGCGGGTACCAGGTCTGAAGTGGCGGGCAGTTCACTACCCGCCAAACCACCCGCTGGTATGGGTGGGTAGTTTGCCTCCTGCCGAACCACCCACTGGTACGTTGGTGTTTGGCCTCCGATTCCGTTGACTCGTTGTGTACTTGTGCGTCTTGATTGATGTCTCGTAAGTCTAGAGCGGTGTATTAAGTATCCTTTGGTAGGATTTGGAGTCTTAAATCGTGGTTGTAATCCAATCTTGTGATTCGTTGGATTCAAATGAAGTTAGATCAACCCCTTAAGAACTCTTCATCATCTGAGAACTCTATATCATCAATAATTCCATAAATTCGGGCTTGTCTTGCTGAAAAGAAAACGTCTCTGTCTGTGACAACCCGAAATCCAAATTCGGCTAAGGGATTAATTAAGTAATTAATCCTATTTCAATTTGTAATTAATTCCTTAAATTCTTGAAATTTAATAGTCGGGGACTAGTAATTCACTAGTCAACCCCATAGTCAAAGTTGTACCAAAGCTTTGTAAGGAGTTCCCTTGTTCCTTACACCTTTCCATGTTAGTAAGGGTATTCTTGACCTTTCACCTTGTGTTAGTATTGTAACCTAACCTAGTGAGAACACCTCATTTCTATCCTTACACTTTCCAAAATCCTAGCTCCATCTTCTCTCTAAAAAGGTGGATAGCTTTTCTTCCAAGCCAAGTTGGAGCTTTGTCAAGACTTCAAGAGTTGTCTCCAAGACTATACCTTTCATACATTTGGGCATCTAGGAGGGTAAGATCCATATTCATCTTGTGCTTTTAGTGTTTTCTTAGATGTCTTTTCTTAAAGATAGGATCTTTATGATCTTTTGGTATGTTCTTGAAGTGGGTTTGGAAGGTGGGCTTTGATAGGAGCTTGGTGTGGTGTTAAGTGAAGGTTTTTGGTCTACAAGAAGTAACCTATGCTCTACAAAATCTATTTTGCTTACCTATGTAAATATTTCTTGGATTCTACATGTGTTTTGCTATGAAATGTGAGTGTTTATGCATTGTCTTGTGAAAATGCATATCTAGAGCTTGTGTTTAGGGTTCTTGTATGCCATTGCTTGGCTATTCCTTTGATTCAAGTCACTTTGTTGTATTTGGTGAGATTTGGCATGTTTTGGACTTGAATTTGAGCTTGGAGATGAAAATCCCCGAAGGGATTATTTTGGGCACATGGATGTACCTGCGGGCGGAACAGCGGGCAGAGCCCTACCCGCCGCCCCACCCACGGGAACGTGGCTTGTGGGAGTTGGTACCCGCGGGCAGGACCACGGGTAGGGGCCTACCCGTGGGTCCACCCGCGGGGTACACTTTGGTGTACGATCGAGATTTCTTCCCCGTGATTCTTTTGACTCGTTATTTGGTCTTTTGACTTCCCGATGTTCTTTTGTGGAACTATTTGAGCGTCTTCTTTATGTTTCATATGTCTAGAACTATATGGTAGGAATCCATGTAGGTTTTGGTGTCTTGAATCGTGCTAAGTGTTCAACATTGTGTTTCGTTGAACCATGATGAGTCTTGTGTGTTCTTCGGAACTACGTTTGGTTTACCCGTTTGATAAGCATGCTAGTTCGGTGTTTAAATGCTAGCGTGTGTGTTGTTTGTACTTTCCTATTGGTTGATGATAACTTGTGTTATTCATCGTTGTTGTTGTTGGGCTGTGACCCATTCCTTGATTGAGTATGGTTTCATATCTTCGTTGTGATCCGTTGATTGATTCCTGTTGTGGTGTGATGTGTGTGTGGCGTTACCTGGATTGCACGATTAGTGGTATGGGACACTAGTCACCAAGGTATTGCAGTGGTCCTCGTGGAGGCCATGACGTGATTATGGAGTTGTGACCTTTGTGTAAGGTTCACGTATTTCTTGGGTGGCATGTGTTGCCGTGTGTGTGATCGGTACCCTCGTGTACTATGAAATTGGTGGTCTTGTTGGTGGTTTGTTGGTGGGGGACGACGGTCCCAGAAGGGAAAAGGTTGGACTAAGAAGTACAGGGGTCCTGGAGGTAATGGTTGGAAGAAGATATAAGGTTGGGGGTAGGCATAAGGTTGGAACCGGGCATAAGGAAGGCATCCCAATTCGTGATGGGTGATGTCACGAGGGCTTGTGTAGCGGTTGTTGTGAGTTCTCTTCTTGTGACGTGTGTAGTCACAAATGCATGTGTTGTCTTGGCATGTGTTGCCGTTTGTCGTGTCTTATTCCTTTGAGTTATGCATGTCGGGTATTAATCTATTGTGTGATGATAGATTCTATCTCGAGACTTCTTGTGAGTCGTTGTTGTTCCTTGTGGTCTTGGGATGTGTTCCCGTGTTCTTGTTGAGAGTGTTGAGTCTTGTGTTGACTATTACTCTTGGTTTTTGACTTATATATATGTATTCCGTTTCGAAAATGGCTTTATAAACCTATATCTTATCTATGTATGATATTTCACATGTATTGGTGGGTTACCAGCATTATTCGCTGACCGGGCGTCGTCCCATGTTTTATATGTTTCTTTCAGGTGATGCTTAGACGAGTGCGCGGTCTAGTGCCTGCTAGCATAGTTTCCCCTTTGTGTTTTGTGGCCTGTGAGCCAATATAGATGTAGAACTCTGTTGGATGGTTGTAGATGTAAACAATGCAGATTTAGCCTGTGTATTCACCCTTGGGTGAGCGTGGCATAGCACCCCGTTTCCTCGTTTTATATATATCTTATCTTTCAGTCTTCCGCTGTGTTTGGTGTTTTGGTTTAAGTTATCTGCATGTTTTAAGGCTTTAAATAGCGTGGTTTTAGGGGGTGTTACACTGTCCATGTCTCCTGATATGATCGAGGTAGGGTTGCCGGTTCTTTGTGCATAAATCTCTGCGATGTGTTCACGCAGTTTCAACGCTTCTTTCGTTCCAAGAGAAGTTCTCCTGCATGACTCTCAAAAAAAGAAGTCCTAGGTTGATGGATCATTACCCTGATGATATAACAAAATATTCCTCTAGCTAGCATGAAAAAGCGAAGACAAACGATAGAATTGAACAATCGTACATGCATCTTTTGGGTATTGCATATGGCTCTACAATAAAATGGACCTTGAACCCTCCCTTCCATTGAAGAAAGAGAAAAAAAAATAGAATCTATTAGAACCAGATGGGTAAAAGATCAAATTGCCACCCTTCATTTCGGAGAAGTTTAAAAATATGTTATTCGCATAAGTCTT